AGATGGGGAGGGGCTGCCCTGCCCAGCAGCCAGAGGGGAATTTTTCCCCCTAGAACCGGTCAAACCAGCAGTGGGGCTTGGGGGGGCAGGGGCTCAGAAGCTACAAGGCAAATATCCAGATGCCTCTCTCCCCCCCTCCCCCTGCTCCCAGTGTATTATTTTTAGACCCACCCATACTGCTGGGTTCTGTGTCTCCACAGTGTTGGGGGCTGCCCAGGGCCCTGGTCTGATTTCCCTGCAGGATTCAGATCTCAGCCACACCGTGTTTGACCGGAGTCACTGCTGGCTCTGGCAGGGGGTGAGTGCGGATGGGCCAATGGGATCAGCCTCTCCCTGCTCCTGGGGGCTGCAGGGGTAGGACAGCTCAGGCACTAGCTGCTGACATTAGAGGTCTCCTGTTCTGGCTGAGGGAGAGGAGGAGGCTGGTGTGTGTCTCTCTCTGTTCCTGATGTCAGAGCCCTTGAATTGAGCTGCCTGGGTCAGATGCTGCTGCCTCCTCTACCTGAGAGCCCAGACTGAAACTGCTACTCCCCAGCTGGGGCTGTGCCAGGCACAGACCTTTATTAATCCCCCTCTGTGCCCAGCACTGGTAGGGACTTTCACCGTGCCTGGAACCAGCCCCTGGGGCAGCCCCAGGCTTTGCCCACACCAGCCACTGAGCCACAGCCTGCAGGTGATGGGGAGACCCGGGGGAACGGGCTGGGGCCGGGCAGGAAAGTGACTCTGCACAAAGGGCCCCTTTCAGGGACCTGCTGGTGAGTTTGTACCGAAGGGGGAGAGGGCTCCCTATGTGTCTGCGGGTCCCAGAGCTGCTGCCCTCAGTGACACAGCCAGTTAGCAGTTGCAGCAACCAGATCTCTACTGGAGAGGAAACACCCATGTACATGGGCCAGTAACCAGTTTTCTCAGGCAGAGGGGATGGGAGAGAGGGGTGGAGACAGTGAATAAGTCAGTAGGAACAAGGAGGGAGGTTCCCAGGTCCCAAATCTGCCCAGATCCATTCCCTGCATCACCCTGTGGAGACAAGGTCGGTGAGGTAATATCGTGTATTGAAGCAACTTCTGTGGGTGAGAGAGACATGCTTTTGAGCCACACAGCTCTTCTGCAGGACTGGGAAAGGTACTCGGAGCGTCACAGCTAAATACAAGATGGAACAGATTGTTTACCGTAAGTAGGCAACACATAGTCTAAGGCAGGGGTAGTCCGTCAGTGAACTGCGAGCCAAATCCAGACCACTGGACACTTTTGAACAGACCCTGAAATCTTTATTATTACTAGCATTCTTGTTATTTTTTTATTATTTTCTCTGCAGTCCGGACCTTGACTGTACCTTGACGAAGAAATTTGGACCTTGACCAAGGGTAGTCAATTATTTTTAGTCTAAGGGACCATTCAAGGTGAAGTGGCCTGTTAACAACTCTGCAGTCACAGGACAAAAAAGGGGGGAGTTAGTGGGTTGCAGATTATTGTAATCAGCCAATAATCCAGTGTCTTTATGAAGACTGTGATTTTTAGTGTCTAGTGGAGTTATGAATTTAAGCTCCCAGGTATCATTTGAAGATGTTGTGCAGGTTTCCGTTGAGGATGAGGGCTGAGAGGTCAGATATGGAGTGATCACTCTGTGACAAATTTTCACCCACTGGTGTTAGGGTGTTTTTGTCTTTTATCACTTTTTAGTGTGAGTTCGTTCGAGAGTGTAGTGATTGTCTGCCTTCACCCACATAGTTGTTATTGGAGCATTTACGCACTGGATAAGGTGCACCCCATGTTGTGATAGGCGTGTGTAGGACCCATGGATCTTGAAAGCTGTGTTGCAGGGAGATGTTGATCACTGTAGCAGTGGAGATATGGCTGCAGGTTTTGCATCTGTTGTTTTGGCAGGGTCTGGTACTGCTTTGAATTGCTGCGATTGACTTCCCAGAGACTGTGGTAAGGAGGAAAGAGAGGAAAAACCAGTTTGTGTGTCTGCTGAGTCACCACTCTGCTGGGGGGACCCCACTGCCTTGGCGATAAAATCAGTGAATCCACCAAAGTAGCTTCTCTGTTTCTGATTTTTTTTTTTTTTAGTGTTTGGCTCAGAGTCAATTGTACAATTGTGTCAATTGCTTGACCGCCCTTTGGTTCGTTCTGAAATGTATGCAAGAGATCAAATAACCAAGACCAGTCAGGTTGGTTGCTCTAAGCCAATGATAATATAGTACAGGAAAAAAAGTGTTCTGTACAATACCAGTCTCCGGGAAGTCGTCACATGCAGCGTTGTTACGTTCACCTTACACACAAGGTGTGCAAGTGACAACTCTAATGCCATCTCTTTATACATATGTATAGGTAAATGTACACTGTACATTGGGTTCTCAACCTTTCTCTTTCTGAGCCCCTCCCATGTTATAAAAACTCCACAGCCAACCTGTGCCACAACTACTGTTTTTCTACATATAAAAGCCAGGGCCGGCGCTAGTGGGTAGCAAGCCAGGAAATTACCTGGAGTCCCACACCAGAGGGGCCCCTGCAAAGTTAAGTAGTTCAGGCTTTGGCTTCAGCCCGGGGTGGCGGGTCTCAGGGCCACAGGTTTCAGCACCATGCAGCACAGCTTTGGCTTTCTGCCCTGGGCCCCAGTGAGTCCCTGCTTGTCGGCCCCCATGAAACCTACTTGCGGACCCCTGGTTGGGAGCTGCTGCTGTACATCCTCTGAAATGAGATTGAACCAATCAGCTTTTTACCTTGTTTTTTCTGGTACCACGGAGGACCCTTTATCTCATGATTTCCAAGTGCCACAGGGCGTGAAGGCATATCCTAGGTTTGTAGGTAAAACCATTATATGTCTTGTCCTCTTCCCTTGAGACATTCTAGTATAGACCTGTGAGAATGACTTCCTACCTGTTGCTATTGTAAAATTTTCAAAGGTCCTACTCCTGACAGTTTTCCAAGTACTTCAGCTAACGCAAAGTTTTCTGAGCTACTTGACATGGGTGAACAGAATTATGGGGAGGGTGTAATAGATTCAGTGAAGATACCTTCTGGGTCTTTATTGAAATTATTCCTAGCATATATGTATTGGCTAACAACAACCACATTGTTAGTCTCTAAGGTGCCACAAGTACTCCTGTTCTTTTTGCGGATACAGACTAACACGGCTGCTACTCTGAAACAACCACATTGCACTTCAAATTGTCACGTATTCCCACGGGAGAGGGAAGGGAAATGGCTGTGATGGAGCAAGCTCGGGTAGGGGAATTTCAGGGAACTGCAGGGGGGTTGTTGTGGAGGGGGAGGGGCAGGAAACACACAGGGTGAGGCAGGGAGGGGACAGTGTGTGAAAAACCGGCTGGGACACGTTTAACTTGGAGCCTGATTTTCTGAACAGGCCCATTGGCCAGGGTGTGTGGAGACATTCCCCCATTTCTGAACCAGGAAACACCCCCCCTGGGCAGGGCTGGGAAAACTGACCAGACTCCCAGTGCTGGAGCCTGAACCCACTGGCCAGAGGCTGCTGTGAAATACGAAGGGAAGCTGTTGGGATTCCTGTCCCTGTTCCCTGCTCAGAGCTCTGCTTCCCGTATCAGCCTGTGGCTGGCAGGCGTGTGGGAAATGAGAAGACCCTGCCCTGCTCCATCTGCTGGGGGGTACAAGGAGCTCTCACCTTCTCCCCACCCCCTGAAGCCTCCTGGCTGCTCTGGGTGGGGTGGGGTGGGGTGGGATTCTGCTTCTCTGGGCCTCCTCCCCCATGACTAGTGGGATTGTGGTTGGGGCAGCAGGGGCTGAGTGGGGGACTCTTGTTGTTTCAGATGCCGGTGACCTTCGAGGAGGTGGCTGTGTATTTCACCCAGGCGCAGGGGGCTCTGCTGGACCCCTCTCAGAGAGCCCTCTATAGGGACGTCATGCAGGAGAACTATGAGACGGTGACCTCGCTGGGTAAGGGATTCCCGTCCCCTCGGTTATTAGAAGCTGTGGGGTCTGCATGTCTGACTCTCGTCAGGTTCTTCCCTGGTCAGTTAGATTTGAAGAGAGTGAGTTGCATAGTCCACACATCCATTCTGAAAGAGACTTCCGTCTCCATACCCCCTGCAGTCAAATCAGGGAGTCATGAATGTAATGTACATGCTAATTCATCCCCATTCCTCCTGCTTTCAAGGGAGCAGAAGCAGTGCATTTTCCTCTCTGCATTAGCTTTCCCTTACACCCTGTTCCCTTTTCTTCCTAGGACTTGCTCCATCTATGGGGAGAGGGCTCTGAAGGTTGAGAAATTGGCAGGAATTTAACACCAGAGCTGTTGCTGTGTTAGCAAGTGTCCCCTCCATGCCTTTCCCCCACTCCCCCAGCCCCACAGATGCTGAATGTTCCTACTGGGTTTCTGACAAATCTCTCCTACCCCAGGGGCTCAGTGACCCTGTTCCCATCTGTTCAGATTCCACATTCCCCTGCAGGGCATGGGGCCAGCTTAAAATCAGGGAATGTTCTTTGTTACAGATCCTCTACCAATGCTCCATGCACCCTGATCTTGTCTGATTTCATTCGCTGAGCAGGATTTGCAGTTCCCAAACCTGATCTGATCTCCCGGCTGGAACAAGGGGAAGAGCCGTGGGTCCCGGATCTCCAGGCCTCTGAGGAAAGGGAGAGCCAGAGAGGCACCCGCACAGGTGAGGAGTCAGGGAAACTGACACAGAAACTATCTGACAAATGAAGAAAAAAGCTGGGACTCCCAAAAAAGTGCTGTGACGAGAGCCCTCAGTTCTGCCCCGTCTCACCCAGGTGAGGGCTGCAGTCAGCGGGTGTCATATCATGAAGGCAAATATCAGTCACGGCTTCCCACCCACCCTGTTAGCTGTCGGAAATTTCCTCCCTGACTTTCCTTCCCTGGGAGCGTTTGGGTGGGATGTGGAGGCAGAATCCAATGTTTCCAGCTCCCCAACAGTGACTGTGTTTTGTTTCCCAATTCTGAGGAGAAAGGGGAACACCGGTGACTCTTGTCTGAATTCTCTCTCTCCCGGCAGGCGATGAGACAGTGAGTGAGAACGAAGAGGAGAATCGTCAATCTGAAGGTCCTGAGCAAATGGAACCCCTGGGGACCGTTATTAAAACAGCTGATGGGAATTTTTCCCAGTTCTTGGAACAGGGGGAAGCCTGGGGAAATTGGCACAGGTCAGAGAAGCAGCTGGGAGACCACCCAAGGAAGAAAGGGGATGAATCCATTGAACGTGGGGCAGGATGCACAGATCCTAAGGAAACTACAGCCCAGCAGACAAATCCCAAGGAGGAGAAACTCTATAAATGCCTCGAATGTGGGAAAAGCTTCAGTGTGAGAACCAACCTTATTACGCATCAGAGAAACCACACCGGAGAGAAGCCCTATAAATGCTGGGAGTGCGGGAAAAGCTTCCATCAGAGTTCAAGCCTCACTAAACATCGGAGAATCCACACGGGAGAGAGACCCTATGAATGCCTCGACTGCGGGAAAAGATTCAGTGTGAGAACAAACCTTATTACGCATCAGAGACTGCACACGGGAGAAAAACCCTATAAATGCTTGGACTGCGGGAAAAGCTTTAGTCAGAGCGCCAGCCTTACCAATCATCGGAGAATCCACACAGGAGAGACACCCTATAAATGCCTCGACTGTGGGAAAAGTTTCAAGGTGAAAACCAATCTGATTACACATCAGAGAAACCACACGGGAGAGAAACCCTACACGTGTTCGGAATGTGGGAAAAGTTTCAGCCAGAGCTCAAGCCTCACGAAACACTGGAGAATCCACACGGGAGAGAGACCCCATACATGCCTAGTGTGTGGGAAAAGTTTTAGCGAGAGCTCAACACTTATTAAGCATGGGAGAGTCCATACGCGGGACAGACCCTATGAGTAACTCGAGCGTGGGAAGAGATTGAATGAAAGATAAGCCATTGTTGCACATCGGGGAACCCACACAGGAGAGAAACCCCATAAATGCTTGGACTGTGGGAAAAGCTTCAGTTGCGGCTGAAACCTTACGAAACATCAGCGAATGCACAAGGGTGGGAGACACTAGAAATAACTCGACTATGGGAAAAGATTCAGAGCTCAGACATGATTACACATCAGATAATTCATGAGAGAGAGAAAGACCTTCAATGTGGGGGAAGCGTCAACTGGTGCTCCTACAGTAGCGAGCATCATCAAATGCACACAGAGAAGAGTCCTGTTGGAGCATTTTGAAAGCTGAAGACATCTACGTGTAGCTAGTTCCATGTTGGACATCAGAAACTCCTCCACACGGCAGGGAAATTCTCTCAGGGCCCTGACTAGGGC